ATGTTGTCCATGGCTCATAAATAAACTAAAGGCAAAACAGTATGTGGTTGAATCTTGGAAGCTTCATAATATATTTTTAAATTTTTTTTCCCAAAAGGTCTCTTTAAACTACTCACAAAATTTGAATTTCTTTACTCTATTTGATATGAGTAAATACAAGTTGATATCAGATATCAACAAAACTTGTTAATATCAAGGCCAATTTTGTAAATTTAGCTACCACACCATGGGTAATATTGTAATTTTAGCAACCTCACCCCCTTTCTCTCCCCTCTATCACCACCGTGCAACCTCTACTACCACCCACAACACCACCTTTACCTTCATGAATCGACCCCTGCCAACCACCAATCGACCCCAGCCGACCACCACACGGCCCCCGCACCAATATTCGACCGCCGCAACACCACTAGCTACCACCCACAGCACCACCTTTAGTTTCACTAGCCTTTACGAATCGACCCTAGCCGACCACCACAGGCCGCTGCAGCAACATTCGACCGCCGCAACACCACTAGTACGAGCAAATCCCTTACCCTAAAGGGTTTTTATAGCCCCAATTTTCATAAATTGCTACTAGGGTGTCATTTTTTTGGCAGGGCGCCCGCCGTGGATCCGCGTATGTGGTCAACCTTAGGCATGGGAGTGGAGGAGAGAGAAGGAAGTAGTGGCCATGGGAATGGAGGAGAGAGGAAGGAAATTTGGTCATGTGAGGGGAGGAGAGAGAAAAATTGGTGATATTAACAAAAGTTTGTTGATATCATATATTAACTGGGTCTGGCTCATTTGAAATTTGATGAAAATTATGCAAAAGAAAAATGTACAAAATGTCGTTAATATTATTAAGATTCAAACTCAATGCATCTACCCATGCAATAATTAAACTATTATAAGCTCAAGGATTCGGAATGATTCGCATATTCAATAGCCTTATTTATATCTTTGAGTTACAACCTTCGCTATTTTCCAGCTTCATTACTATCTTATTGATGACTCCATTACAGATATCAAATATGATGTGACCGATACGATTGTGCACCATAGTGGCTTGGAATGTGGTGCAAATGGAAGTGTTTTTGTATTTTTATGGGGAGGGAACCATAAAGGACAGTGATGTAGACGAGATTTGATCTCACGTATTGAGTATTACCTCAAAATTTTAATTTACTCAATCAATTGAAATTCATAACTCCACGTTCAGGGTAGTGTTGTGAGCTTATAAAAGGCATAATTAAAAATAACGCGTGATATCAAATCCCGTATAGATCATTTGCTTGTTGTAGACTTGTAGTTGTCACAAGTCATTACTTAAGAAGTTTAAGATGCTTGTGTTTTGGTGTGTCTAGCTCAAGGTAAGGCATCCTCACCAGCGACCTTCAACACAACACAACACAACATCCTCACAGCACTCACCTGCAACATTAATTGATCAAATTCAAAGCTTTGATCGATCTTCAACACCCAGTTCGATTTCAACTTCGAACTCGAAAATCCAATAAGATCCGTCGCTTTCTCATACCAAGTTCGCTTGCCAATTCAAAGATACTCCTTTCTCATGCCTTCATATCTCTTGTAATCTCAAAAGGTAAAATTTTGATCCCGAATTCGTAGTTTATGCAATTGCATTCAATTGATGTTTCTCATGTTTACTACCATTTGGAAAGAGTTAATGTTTTGAGCTGGAATCGGGTTGTCATTTGAATGCCTACTACGTGTTCGACGAAATGCCGCTTTGAAATCCATATGATTTGTAAATTCAATAGATTGTCTGACTTTAGAATTTTCTTGTCAGTTTGAGAATTTCTAATCCCATTAATTGGAATTTTGAATTATTGTAGAATCAACAGTACAATTAAAATAGAATCTAGTATCTTGATGTTAATCCATGATCTTGGTTTGTTCATGTGGGGTTTTTGAAAGGATGTAGTTTATTGGTTTACAGAAATTTTACTACGTATTAGTAGAATGTGCAGCTGGGTTCTTTTAGTGCTTGCTCCTGTAGTATGTTTCTGGGCATTTTCCTTCTGACTAAATTGATGATAGGAGTTCATGAAATTTGATTTCATTGTTTAATCAAATCATCTTGAGCTAGTATGTTTGTCTGTTTGATGTAGCTTGGTTTGAATCTATTTATCATTTCATCCTGTTTGAGTTGGTCGGAAATTACAACTGCCAATACTGCCAAGATTTTCGGTAGATAACCGATTGATGAAGTTTTTGCTGTTAGTATGATTCCGGACCAAAGGTGTATACAATTGTGTGTGTATGGGTGTGTGTGCATGCGCACGTGTGTGTGAGAACCGAACTCAATTCGAATGGAAAAATATTGTCTTTTTTATGAAGTTCTTTCCTTCAAGGTACTTATTTGAGGGGTATTGTTGTCCTCTAATATGTGCAAGGAATTTTTGGTAGTTTTGATTCTTCCTGATGGAGTGATGGACTATTGGACATACTATAATGAAATGAACTTACCTCATATGAGAAACCTAAGCTATTGAACATAATTAATGTGCTATTTCTTACTCACAGCTATGTATTTATCACTTACAAAGTAGTTGCTAACATCTCTACCAACTGTGTTTATATGTTGCAGGTGCAGTTAAGGTTGAATTATAATGAGTGGTTCTATCAGATCTAGTAGCCTTAAATCTGCATTTTCATATTGTGTACAACAAGTAAGAAGCTATGACTACCACAATTACCTTTGTCTCCTAGAACTCCCTCTGGAGATGCGAAGAGCTGCATTTGCACTTCGTGCCTTCAATGTTGAAACAGCCAAAGCTATGGATGTTGCTTCTGATCCCAGGATTGGCCTAATGCGGCTTCTTTGGTGGCAAGATGCAGTGGACAAAATCTATGCCAATAAGCTGATTGAGCATCCAATTGCCCAATCTCTTTCATCCATTGTGTCAGAGCATAAAGTAAGCAAGGCCTGGCTGAAAAGATCTATTGAAGCTCGTATAAATGATGCACAGAGGGAACCCAATGAAATCCTAAAAACTGTTGAAGAATTAGAGAAATATTCTGAGGACACACAATCCACTATCTTGTATACAACATTACAATCTGGAGGTATCAACTCCACTGCAGCTGATCATGCTGCTTCTCATATTGGTAAAGCTGCTGGGCTTTCCTTGCTGTTGAGGTCTTTACCATACCATGCCAGTCGCCAACGATTATTTGCTTACATTCCTTCTGACATTGCTTCCAAACACGGTTTATTGATTGAGGATGGGGGTCAGACTGGAATCACTGCAGACTCACGTGAGGGGCTCTGTAATGCGGTCTTTGAGATGGCTTCAGTGGCAAATTCTCATCTCCAAAAGGCACGGGAATTGTCTAAAACAGTACCTGCTGAAGCTATTCCTGTGCTCCTCCCTGCTGTTCCAACTCAAGTGCTCTTGGACTCTCTGCGCCGGGTGCATTTTGATGTTTTTGATCCTAAATTGCAGCGAGGTGTTTTGGGGATCCCTCCACTGTTGTTTCAGCTAAAATTGAAATGGCATTCATGGAGGGGAAGATATTGATTTTCTTTCTTCAGGTTGTAACAACAATAAGAAAATTATGCAAACCTTTGATTTACTTAGACACATGTTGAGGAGAGTCAATTAGGCAATTAGCTGCTTTTTTAAACAATAGGCTTGCTAGCAGAGGCATACACCACACTCTAGAGCAGTGTATTTGAGGTTTGAATGTCTATTATGAATTGGATGTTTCTCTCATTTTTGGAATTGACATCTACAAGAATAATCCGAAATTTGTTGTGAAGTTTCATTGGTTTATGCTTATCAGGCATCAGAGCATACTGATGGTTTGTTTGAGCAGATGAAGAGTCCACCATTTCTTAGGGAATGTACAATGTAGTGTGCAGGGTCATTAAAAAACAAATTAAAAATTGCGCTAGAAGGAGGGGTCGAACCTCCGACCTTGTGGTTAACAGCCACACGCTCTAACCAACTGAGCTATTCCAGCTTCTTGTTATCTAAGTCTTATAGTATATTCTAATATTAATACAGAATAGGGGTGACCCAAGCAGGATAGCTGAGTTTGCATTAACTAGATGAGTTTGCTATTCCAGCTTCTTGACACTTTTTTTTTTCTTTTTTTTTTTTGCAAGTTCTTGTATCTATTTGTTACTTCTAGTTTGATTTTCACATGATAAAACAACCGCCAAATTAAGAAAAACATTTATATGCATTCGATATAAGACAATTGATAAAGATAATTATTTGGAACACATTATAAGTCACTCAACAATAGACCTGGAGTAGATACATGTACAAATTATACAATAATTGATAAACTTTCTTTAGATTGTTCATACAACTATACAAGTAGTTCTCATTCTTCTATCTAATCTTCCTATGCACACTCAATCTTTTTTACGTGTGATGAAAATACTACAATTTTCAATACCACCTTTCTTTTTTACCATTTAATATTTCCATCTTTATACTCACTTTGATTTACTCGACATCTAACAAGCCCCGATTTCTCAATTATAGTGACAGAGCAAACGTATTACAATATTATTTTATTATACTTTTGTTGTCGACTCCCCCTCTCCCTTCGTCTCCTTCCGTCTTCTTCAACCTTCTTAAATCTCCTTTATTCCTTTTCATCATCAATGACAGATGAACACCACACCACAACAAACCTCAACCGCAAGACCACCGTCGAATTTCTTAGCTCAAAATTTCTCAACCTCCATCGTTGAAGAATTCTCTTGATCCCATCGTTGAAGAGAGGGAACATTGGGTAAGTGGGTTAACATTGTCAATCTTCCATTTTGTTTAAATGACAAAAATAACCTTGCTTGTTTGGAAAAGAAAAGAAAAAACGAAAAATATCACCTTGAATTAGGTTATACTTATTTTATTTTTAATCTATAAGATCATGACTCCATATCTATTTATTTTACTTTTATCTTTCAATTATCATTTACTCATAAATCATGTTGTATAAGTTTCGAAACGACATCTGTATAAATCACAAATTTGCAATGATAAGTGGATAACAAACTGAATCCAAGAATATTAAAAATATTCATACATTAAGGTTAATCCAAAGTCGAACTTAATTCAAGAAAGTAGTCAAAAATTGTGGATTAATTCTTATTAATATTGTCCTAAAAGAACTTCTCCTTCATCCCTCCCATTATCTCTCTCTCCTCTTCATATCTTTTACACAGCGCCATTATTCACCTGTATTTCACTCAGAATTTTCGATCTTTTTCGTTCGATTTCTCTCTAACGGTTAATTTACGATAATCTGTAATCGGCTAATTGTAATAGTTTCTGGGCAACAACCTCAACGATGTAAGTATTTAATTTTATTCCACCATCTATTATTTATTTACTATGATAATTTTTAGTTTTGAAATTGTTAATCTTGATATTATATGATCAAATTTCGGATCAATTTGTATTAAATTTGTGGTTTGATTTCAGATCCGTTGTATAATTTTTTTGGGTGTTTTTTTTGGTTTTTGATTGAATTTTCAGATACAGGCAATTTGGTGTTCCATTAACCACGTAACCCTAATTCAAAGTTGGAGTAATTTTAGGTTTGTTTCTATCATCATTCTCAACTTGGAAGTTTCAATTTATGTTAATCCTTCATTTACCCTTTGATGCTCTTGATATGATTATTACCCCGTATTTCTCTTTTATTGCTTGATCAAAAAAATATTCCTTGATTGTTCAAGTTACAGTGTTCTAGTAATAGTTGGTGTATCATGTACGATAGACAATGCTGGATTGCCCTTGTGGCTGTTGTCGTGTCCCGGGCAGTCTGGCTGCATACATTGATCTCTTGTTTCGTGTTGGCAGATCCAACAATTATTTTTTCATCATCAATTAAGGCATGAAATTATAGCCGTAGTTAGCATATCTTGGTATCATGATTTTAAGCTTTGAGAATACAATTGCCATGACACGTGAAAATCGAATAAATGCAAATTTTAAACTATGATACTTAGAAGGGGTTTTGAAGCAGAGCTTTCCTTGTCATCATAAACTGATTGCTGAGGAACTTAGGTAATGGCCAATCATGAATGGCTTTTATTGTCTTACATGAAGGGTAATTTGTATTCAGATATTTTCTAGTTGCACTATTGGCTTCTTTACTGATAAACTATATTGTGCACGAATACCATCAGCTCATTTTTATTTGGTTTGAGTGACCTCAAATCCAACTTACTGAACATATTAACCTACAATGAGTCCAATACTCCTCCAATAGTCCCCCCCCCCTTTATTTTTGAGGTGATCGGTATGACCATGAAGATTTTGTAGATGTGGGTTGATTAAATGGAGTGTGAACCTTTAGAAGGTTTGAATTTTATGAATCTCGCCAAAATGACTCTTTTGTGTAGTTGGTAGTTACAACATGTTTAAATTTGAAGGAATTTGGAGGGATGGATGGGGGAGAAAATCTAGGATCTATTTTACTTTATTTGGATGTGGATTGAGGAAAATGAAGAATATTGAGGAATGCATTTTACTTTCCTTTTTTAATGAATCAAATCCATCCTCCATTAGAAAGATAATTAGAAAATTCAAGCATATCACCGTATCCCCCAATCTCCTACCTTCCCTTTTTCTTCCCTCACCTTACTCTTTATAATTGCTAACCAAACACACTGTAAATATGGTGATCTGGATTTCAAAGAGTTCTGTGGGTGGATTGGCTCCTACAAATGAGTTTTATTGTGGCTTCTTGAGTTCATGCAGCTTTGTGAAGAAGTAAGCCTCATGTAGTGGTTTTGGGTTGAACACTATGATGGGGACATATAATATGTCATCCAACTCACTTAAAAAATTAAAGGGCCAGTGGTCTTTTACATTTTGATATTGTTGTAAACTTGGTTTTGTATTTTTAATTGATTACTTAAAGCCATGGAAACTGTATTTTTAAATTTTGAATCCGGCTATTAAATCATCCTTATGCACTGCCTTAATTTTATACAAAGTATAAGTTTCAAAAAATAGTATTGCTGTGCGAACTGCTATCTTCTTTGCGCTAGTTGACTAGACAGCAAGAGAGGGGGGGGGGGGGGGGGTCTGCCACTCTGTCCTATGGTTTCTCCATGCTAATGCAATTGGAGATTTGGATCAGTGTTTTACAGGGTCTGGTGCCATTGCAGGGGTTTGGAAGTTTTTTTAGGTTCTAGCTGCCCCTGTGAATTTGTGATCATCTCCAGTATTGTAAAGGAAAGGAACTGTTTGGATTAGCATTACCGATCTCTCTAGATCATCTCTATTGAATTAGAGGACTCACCTTTGTATGACTACAGAGTCTAATGCTGGTTGCTTTAATTTTCAGTGTTAATTCATTGTACTTCAACAGTTAGCTCTGTCACTGGCTTAGCTTATTGAGCAATAATTTGTCTAAATGCAATCTTCTTGGGTACACCTCCAATGATAAGTTCCTTAGTTGGATTGGCCTTTTCCTATCCAGAGCTTTTGCTATGGAGTCCTCACATCCCTATTTGTATTGTGGCCGTGTGGGCCTGAGATAGGCTTCAAAGAGGAGCCCTAGTCCTACCTAGCAAGAAAGTAGAAAGAGATTACACTGTCTTAATGTTGGGGTCCACTATCCCACCATTCCTCAGTATTGCTGCTCTCCCTAGCTAGAACCTCATAACAAATTCTCAAGTAATTAAAGAACTTTGATATTGCTCGTGCAGTTTACCTTTTAATTTAAGGAGTTTACTAAGATTATGTCAACATATAGTTATATATGAAATTGGGCCAAAACGGTTATCAAGTCATAGCACTCATGTATCAAACCTTTGTTGTTCGTGTTTTTGAAATATTGGTCTACATGGTGAAATTTATTAACTCTCTGGTATAGACATCATGCTAACTGATGTCTCTGGAAATAGTAGTAAATTATTTCCAAGGCTCATTAGTTTAAAGGTTCTGTTATGTTTTATGTTTTGAAATTTGGTTGCACTTTAAGATCATTATTTTTCTGATGTAGTGAATTTATATAATACAGGTTGGTGATGGGGGCTTTTATGTCAAGATTTTGGTTTATGTTATTTCCAGCTAAGGAGTATAAGATAGTGATTGTTGGTCTTGATAACGCGGGAAAGACAACCACCCTTTATAAATTGCATTTAGGAGATGTGGTTTCAACGCACCCTACGGTGGGTAGTAATGTCGAAGAGCTTGTCTACAAAAATATTCGATTCGAGGTTTGGGATCTAGGTGGGCAGGATAGACTGAGGACATCATGGACCACATATTATCGAGGAACACATGCTGTCATTGTGGTTATAGATAGCACGGATAGGGCCAGGATTTCGATAATGAAAGATGAGCTCTTCAGATTGCTTCCTAACGAGGATCTACAACAAGCTGTTGTGCTGGTCTTTGCCAATAAACAGGATCTGAAGGATGCCATGACTCCTGCAGAGATTACGGATGCTCTATCCCTCCACAGCATAAAGAATCACGACTGGCATATCCAAGCTTGTTCTGCCCTTACCGGTGATGGGTTGTATGATGGATTGGGATGGATTGCCCAGCGGGTTGCTGGGAAAGCCACAAGTTAGTTTAAACTCAGATGTACTGGTGTTTGTTGACCCCCTTTTTCCCCCTTATTTATTATACAGGTGCTCATTTACTGTTTGATCTTTGTAATAATTTACATTTGGAAGATAAGTTGCTTATGGAATTTCTCTGAAATGTTTGTTTCTTTGTCCCCCCCCCCCCCCCCCTATTTGTATGAGAGAATTCTCCTGTAATGGACTTGATTGATGATTTTATTTTAGAGGGTGTGGGGCTGAATATTGAATAATCCGTAGTATGCCTTAAACGGTGAAGTAATCCGAAATACTCCTATTGTAAATCTGTAAGTTGGCTAGAAAGCTAAACAAAATTAGGTACTTAAAAGTAAAATAAGGTAGATGATGTAATTCCTAATCAATTTTAATTTTGTTAATTTGTTGAAACACAATTACAATTGTTAGTTGAGGTTGAGGTTGAGGTTGAGGTTGAGGTTGAGGTGATGGAGTATGGCATCGCTTCCACGTCGTATCCCCGAGTTCTAGGCATTCAAACTTCATGGGATTTCATTTGAGGGATATCCCTTACCTCCCTCCTCAAATGAGCTTTCCTTCTTACCATTTTTTTTTTTAAAAAAACAATGGTTAGTTGAAATTGGCCTAAAATTTGATTAACAAAGCATATATATATATATATATATTTACATATCTTAAAAATTAATTAACATGAGAAATTTTCTAAACCCGTAAATATAAACGGAAGGAGTAATTGACTAATCATCCGGCTCTGTTACTATTGAGCTAGAGAGTAATGCCGTGATGGTTAACCCAAATACTCAACCAATAGGCCAACACTATTTGGAAAATTGTGATGGACAATTTTGTCCTGGACTTTAACACGAAGTTATCTGCAAGACTACGACAATCCTGGGGGTATTTTAGGAACTCAGAAAACCCAAATAAAGTCCACCCAATAAACCTAAGAACAACCTGAGGTTCCTCAAGAATGTTCTACAAAGAGTGACCAATTTACGTAACAAAACCAATCCCTCAAATCAACAGAACACCAAAATCTGAAAATCCCTAATTTCCCCAATTTCCCCAATTTCATATCATCTTCATCCTGAAAGAAGAGAGAGAAATCTCTGAAGGAAGAGAGAGAAAACGATGTCTCACTTCGGAAGAACTGGTCCTCCTGATATCGCCGATACTTACTCTCTTCTCGTTCTCAACATCACCTTTCGTAAGTTCTTCTATCTCTTTCCTTTTTTTCTGAAACCCTAGATTTTGTACTTTTCTGATTAATTTGTTGAATTTTAGACAATTTTTGTTTAGAATTTGTTGATATAAAGCAATTTTTTTTGAGAATTTGTTGAAATTGAACAATTTTTTTCTTACTTTTTGTTTTGAAAATTTGTTAATATGGTTGAGTTTGATTGGAGCAGGAACTACGCCCGATGATTTGTTTCCGTTGTTTGATAAGTATGGCAAGGTTGTCGACATTTTTATTCCTCGTGATCGAAGGTGTGATGATTTTCTTCCTTGGTTGATCATAATCAATTTATTTATTTAATTTGTTCGGCTTTCGTTATTGAATTAATGGGTAATACAGGACTGGGGAATCCCGTGGTTTCACCTTTGTTCGATACAAGTATGCCGATGAAGCTCAAAAGGCTGTGGATAGGCTTGATGGTATTTACCTTTTGTAGATACATTGTTATTTCGTATATTAAATCAAATTGTATATTAAAAATGTGTAATTTGATAATTGGGGGGTAATGTTATTGATTTTATCCATGGTTTTCTTGTAGGGAGGGTTGTGGATGGTAGAGAAATAGCTGTCCAATTCGCGAAATATGGTCCAAATGCAGAGAAAATGTAAGTGTTACTGTTATTTTAATGTGTCTTGAATTTCTATGTTGTTCAGGTGTTCATGATGTATTATATTGTAGTTTTTGGCCTATTTTGCCAATTGTTTGTAATTTTTGTACTCAAATCATATGTGCGAAGCAGTAGTTATCTGTAATCAACAGGCTTATTCATATTATAGTATAGCTTATATTTGGTTTTGGGTGCTTCCAAGCTGATAATTCAATGAAGCTAGGTTCATGTTTTTTTATAGAAATTCTTTGAATGGCTTGTGTTTGAAGGCTGTAATGTGTTTTGAGTAGGATTGACATGTTCTATGATGACTAAAGACAGTATAAGCATTTAGGTGGGTTTCTTCCATAGAGGATGTATCTTTACCCTTGGTCCGAACCTATTAAAACTCTCCTACACCCTTATCAAAGACCTTCAAGATGTCTTAATGCTAATAATCTGCATAAAGATCCCTTTGTGTTCAATGCCAGAAGGTGCAGAACTTGATCAAGATGCCAGTTTCAATTTATAAGATGATATGGACTTGTGGAGTGAAAAATGATTAAGGTCAAGTAATATTGAAGTGATACACCAGAAAAACTAGGTTTGAGTGTTGTCTAGAGAAGAAAGAGTGAGGAGGTAAGCAATGAACAAGACACTTGATGATTTAATTATTATGATTAATGTAACGAAAGATATTCCTGTCTGACATTAGTATATTCTGATATCTGCATTTATTTGATGCATCCTCTGAAATACTCCGTAGTATTTGTTAGAATGCAAATCTGTTGGGAATTTGTTAGAATTTTAATGAACCTAACCCTGTGAATGCCATTAGAATGCTAATTAAATGGAATTTGATCAAGGTTCTTGCTTAATCCAAGTAAGATTAATTTTCAGGTTTACATTGAGTTGGGAGACATAGAACCTGCATTTTATGGTACTTTTGACATATTTCAATATTTATTTTTGCTTAGCTTGATGCTCTGATCTTTGAAAATTACATTAATTGATTTGGGGGAGGGTGTTGTGAGTTCTAGATGAACGAGGGTTCAAAAGCTTTTGTTTCCTAAACTATTTGTGAAGATACATTTAACCGAGCTCAATAACCTCCCTCCTCTCCAACACACATGTTTTATTTTGACACTTAGTGGAAGAGATGTATTTGGCCATATATTTTTTTTCAAACCTTGTTATTTAAGCCAAAGCCACATGATGGTTATTCGTCTTGTTTGCTGCTTGTGTATTTCTGTTGTATTATGCTGTCCTTTATTTATTTACCATTTAAGAAGATCTTAATATTGATTGGAATGCAAATAGTTTGGTCTCCTAGCTACTGTAGCTTGTTCAATTTGTTTGTGGCTTTGTGCTGTGAGGCTTGACCATGCTTTCCTTCTCTGATTTTCTTTTCTTTTTTGTTTTTTTTTTAAAAATAAATAATGGTTTATTGATGTTGTATTTCAGTCAAAAAGGAAGGATTGTTGAGTCTATTTCCAAGGTCCGAAGTCCAAGGCGGAGGTATGGTTTTCTTGTTTTGTTATTGACCATTTTTTGGGATTTATTATGTGAAGTTATATGTAATCCATGGAAGAAGCTGTCAAATTGGAATTTGGAACACATGCATACCTGATGTTTACTTTGTGCTCAAATTTTTTCTAATTTTGAAGAGGTGCTCATATTAAGGCACCTGGACGCCATGAGTGGCAGCTGAGCCTCGCACACGTGAAGTACTCTGTCACCGTTTTCAGACTTACTTTAGCTTCATTATTTCTCAGTTGTTGCCAGAGCATTGTTTTGCTGTATTTAACTATGTCACTTTTTTTTTTGGTTTGTATTTGCAAGACTGGTATCAGTTTTTACATGGTTATTAAATAATTGTCACCACTACATGATTATCACCGATGTTGTCTTTAGGTACCGAGATGATTACGATAGAGATAGGGTATATTCCAGAAGAAGAAGTCGTAGTAGAAGCTTGGACAGGTATGATCGTGACAGGTATCGCAGAAGGGACAGAGATTATCGTCGCCGAAGTAGGAGTCGCAGTTACACTCCTGAAAAGTATAGAAGTCGGGGACGAGATGGCTATGATGATGACAGAAGCTATCGAAGCAGATCAGCTGATAGGTTGCTAGACTTGCTACCCCTCATTTCTGTATAACTTATTTACACATGCTGCTGTCATGTAAGTACTTATTTTTATACTTGCTCAGTGCCTCTCCAAGACGAAGTCGCAGTCCACGTAGAAGTATTTCACCAAGGCGGAGTGCTTCACCTCGTAGTCCATCTCGTTCAAGGAGTCATAGTCCAGAGAAGCGCAGCCCTGATGAACGTACATCAGTCCCTCGCCGTTCAGCATCTCCTCAGGCTGTTTCTCCTCATAATGGCCCTTCTGCGCATAAATCAGTTGAGGTAAGTTATTGAGCTTGTCTAAGTTTCTCCCACTTGAGGTCCAAATATCTTATTAGGTGGTGTCTTGGAATTGGCAGGCATGAACCCAGCTGAAAACTGGAGCAGTGATTTGTTGCAGATGAACAGCTCTAGAGGTCACTTGATGATGTAGAATGATTTTGTGCATTGGTAGCTTGGAGTATTGAGTTAGACTTTTGGATAGGAGTGGAACATTTATGGCTATGATGTATTTGCACCCTGCGCTGTGGGTTTGCTTCAATATACCTTTGGATCTTTCTGATGGTAATTGTTGAGTCTATGCTAGCTATTTAAAAACGTAAATGTGGTTTGTCTTTCATCATCTGTTTTATGGTCATTCTGTGTCCTTATAACTTACTTTTTGGATTTGTATGCTTCTTGTCAAACATTATAAATTGTTTGATTTTGACTAAATGTTATCACATGTGATCTTTTAACTGAGATTGAGAAGAATTGTGGAAGTTTGATAAGCTGAATGATGTGATGTTGGTGACGCTGATGGTGTTTGTGATTGTTTAATGGATGATGCATATCTTTTTGTTGATAGTGACAATCAATATACCGGCTGCTGATCTGATACTTGCTGGTTGCTGTTTTATATGATCTATGGACCTTTATGATGGAAAGACTGGTGCTGTTGCAACTTGACCTTATCCTCATAAAATCCTGCTAATTGGTGAGATTTACAGATCAGTCACTTATTTACATATGTGATCCAGTGTTTTCAATATGGCTGATTTTGAAAATTCTGTTAATAATTTTATTGGTCATAGCATAAGAAAACAAGGTTCAATGACATGAATGGATGTGTAGCTGTGCTGTTGGTCCTGCTACTTCCAATGGTCTGTACCTGTTGTCATAATGCTGAATTGCTGATTATGTTTGTGAATGAGACCACATTAGCCCGGGGAACAATGCATCCACAACAACTGGATGTGGTAATGGCCTCTGGTTGCTTACTTTGTTTTGTGCATTGTGTATACAACTAACACAGCCTATTGCTTAATAGTTTTTGACTATTGTCTTGCTGTTGCTTAATTGTATAGCTCATGGCTCGTGATTGTAGCTGTCAAGCAGTTGCGGAGTTCTGCCTGTAGTTTGAGATTTTCGTGTTGCTTGGTCGTAGCTTTGCTGAAAAGCTTTTTGGTGGCTGTTGGTGGCCAATAGTTGGGTTCGGGTCGGGCTATCTAAGATATGACTGTTGTTTGTTTTGACCATCGTGTAGCTGTTCCTGGCTCGTGGTTTTTTCTGACTGCTAGTAGAGCTGTTTGATTTTGAGCAGATCTTTGTTCGATACAGCCTTTAGTTTTATGTATGACCAACGGCAAGAGCATTTAAATGAGGTGCAAAAGTGTGTGTCTTGCATTGCCCATGGTATTTTCTCACATCATTTTGTAGTCCATGCTTGTTGCTGATTCTGAAGTCGTTCTTTACTGAATCTCTTTTTGTTAAAATATCATCTGAACTTAGGAAGACATGTACTAGTATGTGAGCGGAAACTAATCTGCTAGTTTGTTTACCAGTTTTTATCTGTCAAATTCCCCTTTTCAAGTCTCCACTTCGAAGGTTAAGTTTGTGTGTTGTAGCTTGTATAAATTTATCAAACTGGTTAGGATTTAATTGTCTTACTGAAAAGAAAACCCAGAAAAATATGAGCACTGTTCAGTTCATTCCCTAGATATTTTGTTTATCTGGGGGTAAAATTGTGTTTTTAAATGTCATTGCAAGGGTACATCTGTCATTTGTGTTGGATGACCAACTAATTACTTAATATTATTATTATTATTAATTTTGATTATTATTATTATTATTTATTGATTATTATTATTATTATTATTATTATTATTGTTGTTGTTGTTGTAGTAGTGTATATACAAATGTACATATTATTATTAATAATAATAATATTATTATTATGATTATTATTATTAACTTTTATTATTATTATTATTATTATTATTATTATTATTTATTGATTATTATTATTATTATTATTATTATTATTATTATTGTTAATATTATTATTATTATTATTATTATTATTATTATTATTATTATTGTTGAACTGAAATGAACTGAATTTCAATGGAAAAGAACAGGCCCTTAGAAGATGACATGGTTTCAATTTCTCCGTATCCTTGGAAAAAAAATACATCTGTAATGCAAATTTTTAAAAGAATCTGAGTAAAAAGGTTTCTTCTTTGGTCATATGCATAATAAAAAGGTATTAGAAACTACTTTTGTTTTTTAAAAATTTCCTTATTTTAATTTTGTGCAAAAATGTGACAAATTATATACCTTTGTAGCAGTATAAATTATTAAATTTGATATTATGAAAATAAATCTTGAAATGAATCTAACAATAACCTTATGATAAGTTAATTTATGTTTTTTTGGCTAAAGTTGTTTTTACCATTTGGAGTACATGTAAAAACACTACCAACTCTTGGTTGTTGGTACACTAATACTACTATAATTAAAAATCATTCCAGTATTGTACCATCTTCTGTCATTTAAATCTTAAAGAGTTGAATATGAAGGAAACATATTAGCCAGGATATGATTAAGAACCTCATGGAGCCATTCATAAGTATAGAACCAGATATTGTTGGCCCATACAAGTGATATACTGTATATAGGGGTGGGACTTTTCAAACCGAACCGTGAAACCGCCCGTAACCGAACCGAACCATCACGGACCGATCCGTTTATAAACCGATAAATATAAACCGAAAACCGAACTGAACCGTTCAATATCAAACTGAAACCGAATTGAACCGCTCAATGTCAACCCGTTACGGACCGTAAACCGATAACAAACCAAACTGCGCAAATCCGAACCGAAACGAAACCGAACCGAATGGTTTATAAACCCGTTAATGAACCGAACCGTTTATAAACCGAAACCGTTTAAACCGAAAAAAAAACCGTTTAAACCGAACCATTTGTAACCCGCTAACCGTTTAAACCGACCCGTTTATGAACCGAAACCGTTTAAACCGCACGTATAAACCGAACCGTTATAATCCGCTAACCGTCTAAACTGAACTGCCATAACCCGTTAAACCGTTAAAATCGAACTGTTTTCGAATCGCAACCTGTTTAAACTGATCCGATTACAAACTGCTTAACTCAAATTGAATTATTTACAACCTAAATGGCTAAATAGTAAATACAATTAATGTTAATAAATGTAGATCTAATCAAACGGCTTAGGTTTATACAAAGGTTTATATCACCTAAATCTAGGCCAACGACATTATTAATATCGTTTTAGATTACTTATTTATTTTAATTACAAGATATATCATTTGTATCATTTTCATTCCAGTAATAATGCTAGTCCACCCAAATTATCTTCATTGTTCCTTGATGTTCATGATCATCCAATAACTCTCAAAGCCTCAAAGGTAACATAAGATTGGAGATGTATGAGATTGCGTTACACAAGTGGCATAAGCATTAGAATATTACTATACTAGTCAATAAGGCGTACAATCATTCACATTATCACTTTATAAAACTTTCTTATACAAGTATTTTGTAAAGGGGAGGACTAAAATGTTTATAAAACACATTTTTTTAGTTTTTCTTATATTAAACCAGATATTAAGTAAAAGAATTTTAATAAATACGGAGGCATCCCAAATCTGTAGCCACAATTATTTCATAACATTACCACAAATCCAGCAGATAAATAGCATTGAAATTAGAGTAATATCAACAAGCAATTAAAAAAAGTCACCATTTTCATTGATTAAAATTCCCAAATTCACAATACATATACCAATACATAATGAAACTACTATCACTACTACCCAGATTAGATTTCAGATTTATCAACTGAAACATCATCAAGTTTAGGGTTGCAAAAAATGATACATTATAAGATGAAGGGAGGAGTGAGAATGTGAGTGATTTGGGAGCAGAATCTTGAAGCAGAATCTTGAAGCAGCAGCACAGCACCCAAGAGCAGAGGAAATAGCAGCAACAAGCAGGAACCAGCACACGGAATAACAGATCAGCAACTTATCAGAAGCAAGGAATAATATAAGCAGAAGAGACTCAGCAGGAACTTATTTTTGTTTTTCAAAATTGCTCTCAGATTTACGTTTATCGTATCATCACTGAGCAATGGCTGTTTTAACTTAAAACTTGAAAAATGCTGCCAGCAAGTACATATACATTGAAGTCTCAACATAAATGACAAGGGCAACGATGATTCAAGAAAAATTAAAACAGCAAGCATAAGAAACAGCAGCAACAAAACTTATCATAAATTCATAACACAAAAGGCAGCAACACAGCACCTCAAGCTGGCAGGAGGCAGGAACCAGCTCATGTAAGCAACAATATAGGCAATAACAACTCAGCAGAGACAACAACCAAAAGGCAAAAGCACTACCAGCAGGCAGCAGCTCATAACAAGTTCAAGCAACTTCAAAATTATAGCTTTTGTTTTTTTAAAATTGCTCTCAGATTTACATCACTGAGCAATGGTTGTTTTAACAAAAACTTAAGAAATGCTGCCAGCAAGTACCAAAATACATTTAACTATTTAAGTCTCAACATAAATGACAAGGGCAACGATTTTAAAAGTCTTGAAAAATGCTGCCAGCAAGTCTGAAAATAAATGACAAGGGCAACGATTTTAAAAGTCTTGAAAAATGTTGCCAGCAAGTCTGAAAATAAATGACAAGGGCAACGATTTTTCAAGATAAAATAAACCACAATGAGACACAAATACCAGTTATGCAGATGAAGCACTTTCGGCTTCAATCTCTTTACCAATAAGGAGGACGTCTTCCTCAACATCCGCTTGATAACCACGGCACCAATTTTGGGTGGTAACCAATGCCTCAACATTCTTTGGCAAAAGTTTACCCCTATATCCTCAAAAAGAAAAAAGCATACATAAGAAAAGCTTAAACTTTTTCAAAAGTTTCCAATGAAATTATGAACCTATAAATAAACATGAGATGTTTATTTTACTAGCCCTAAACTAGCATTTATTTTATGCACATAACTGCAGAAAGTGACACAATTTGGTCTTTTGTTAGGTAAAAAAGCCAATAACCACATAATCTGAACAACCCATCATCATTACTTTTAAATCGAGCATAATAAACAACAAAACAGCACAAATCTACCATTTTCCCGTAAAAAACAAAAATACAATCAACAACAGATTTTAGGCATATTTCGACTATATTCAAGCAAGAACAACAACAATAATCAAATACAAAAACAGAAAAACTGTATTAAAAAAAAACGAAAAGGAAAAAGTAATTACCTTTGATGGCTTGAAGGAGATTTGAAGATGGAGAACTGCCTGAACTGGAGATCAAAAGAAAAAATCAAGAATGTAGATTATCAGAACTTGAAATAAAAAAAAAACCGAAACGAAAACGAAAAAAATCGAAAAAATTAACAAAAAAATTACCTTGAGGTTTGACGGCTTGAAGGAGAGGAAGATTTGAAAAAAAAAAAAAAAAAAACGAGAATGGAAAAGTTAGAAATCAGAACTTTGGATCCAAAACAAAAATGAAACGAAAACAAAAACCCTAAATAAAAAAAGTAAAAAATCGAAACGAAAACGAAAAAAATCAAAACGAAAACAACAAAAATTAACAAATAATTACCTTGAGGTTTGACGGCTTGAAGGAGAGGAAGATTTGGAAAAAAAAAACGAGAATGGAAAAGTCAGAAATCAGAACTTAGATCCAAAACAAAAATGAAACGAAAACAAAAACCCTAAATAAACAAACCGAAACAAAAACGAAAAAAATCAAAACGAAAACAACAAAAATTAACAAAAAAATACCTTGAGTTTTGAACTTTTGACGGCTTGAAGCCTTCAAATTGAAGGAGAGGAAGATTTGAAAAAACAAAAAAACGAGAATGTAAAGCGAGAAATCAGAAATGTAGATCCAAAACACAAATGAAACGAAAACAAAAACCCTAATTAGGATTTTTAAAAGTTGAGAAGTTGAGCTTGAGATTCTTGAAAATTTCAGAACGAAAAGTGAGAAACTGAGAAGTTAGAGAGAGAAACTATGAGTGAGTAAAACGGCTGAATGGCTGATAGAGTGGTTTTTTTTTTCTAGGTTTAGGTTTTACTTGTTCAGTTGATCTAACCGTCCATATTCAATCTCAACATCTAACCGTTCATTTTTTTTTTGTAGATTCCAGAATATTCATCTAGATCTAACGGTCTAGATTTTTCTTTGTGCTTTTCTAGGTCTTTTTGACCGTTTTTTTTAATTATTTATTATTATTATTATTTTGAGGGATTATTATTATTATTATTATTGTTAGTATAATTATTTGTTAATATTATTATTATTACTAGTTTACTACTACTATTATTATAGTATTATTATAATTATTATTATTATTTATTATTATTATTATTATTATTATTATTACTATTATTATTATTAGTTTATTACTTATAAGTTATAAATTGTAAGAAACGCAAATGTTTCAAAATTGAAATTGATTCAATACGACATAGTTAATGACTTAATGAGTTAATGCACATCAATATCTGACATCTCTATATGTATATTATATGTATCTGTGAGTCTGTGACTGTATATCAGTATATATATATAATAAACTAATAATAACTTAATAAGTAATACTAATAACTAATAAAGTAATGAAAATCTAACCATTGTTTTTCATGGCATTCAATCTAACCGTTGTATATTTGACTATTCGTACATTAGTATTGCATAATGATTTCATCACCGCTTTAATTAGTGATTTCGTGATTTCGTCCATTTAACTTATTAAGTTGTTTGAGTTAATAATCTAAATAAAGTAACAAACTAAATAACGAATCCATTTAATCTCGTGTAAGTTATAATTTATAAGAAATGCAATGTTTGGAAATGGAAATTGATTCAATACGATATTGTTAATGTATATGTAATTATAGATTAATTATTATGTATATCATATCGTACGAATGTACGGTTGGTATCATTATCATACTATCATAAGTATCATTGCCTCATTGAATTATTGGTATGTACTACAATCGATAAACATATTTACATATCTGATCATTAAAACTTAAAAGTTTAAAACACTTGTTGATCAATCTAATTGAATACTTGTACATTCTTAATTATCGATTTATCGTATTATAAGTATCAACTCATTAAATCATGGTCATGACGCGATCTTTAAAACAATCATGAATTCATGACCCAAACCGCTTATAAACCGAACCGACATGATCCAAACCGTTCATAAACCGAACCAATTGAACTGTGTAAACCCTCCACTAAACCGGCCCATTTCAAACTGAACCGACATGATTCGCACCGTTTATAAACCGAACCGATATTGACCCGGGTAAACCCGCCCCTAAACCGACCCATTTCAAACCAAACCGGCTTGATCCAAACCGTTTGTAAACCGAACTGACATTGACCCGGGTAAACCCGCCCCCTTAACCGACCCGTATCAAACCGAACCAACATAATCCGAATCGTTTATAAACCGACCCGCTTATGACCCAAACCGAATTTAAACCGCAAAGAAATAAACCGAAACCAAACCGAGCCGTGACTAACCCAAACCGAACCAAACCGACCTGCCAGCTAAACTAAACCGTTTCAATCCGAACCGCTTCAAACCGAAACCGACTCAAACCGAGGTCAAACCGAACCGTCAGACCGAAGTAAGAAGCCCGATGAAAATAAAGTCTGTAAGAAGCAACATCATAAAATTCTAGCCCCTTTGTGAAATGGCGTCTCGGGTACTTTGCTCATGCCAGACAACAAATCTATGTCTGCTGCTCCAAAGCTTTGCTCTAACATACATGTAAATACGCTTCTTTTGTGTTGGATTGTATCCATTGTATCCAGATATTGTTTAGAGCACTACAAAAGCAGATTAGTGAAAAAAAATCAGATAATACAGAAGATCCAAAAACTTTATTAGTTTGATTAGAAACCTTTGGAAATGATTGGAAGGTGATAGGCACAATAGCTGATGTATAATCATGAGGAAAGACTATAGTTGACTTACTATAAACTCGCAAAAAATTGGTCTCTAACAGAGTTGGTCAACGGACATGGGTAGCACTGAGAGCTTATCATCATAACATCTAAATTTTTCCTGCAAATTTTCCAAAATCAAATATAGCATTATTCTTTAAACATCTAAATTTTAGAATCTGCTCATTTAAGCTTTTATTTTTATTTTGAGAATCTGCTCATTTAAGCTTGACTTGATGGAAAGGGGATACTTCAGTAAAATTGTACACAACCTTTTCATCTTGGTTGAAGAATGGACAACAATTCTATTTTCCAGAATGTTAACTGAATATAATTTTACACAATCCTTGTTAATTCTTTAACAAAATCATGAATTAAATCATGTATATTCTGTTACATTCTACAATAACTCTACTTAACTCATCTTCAACGCAGAGTCACAGATGCGATCCTGTTCTCATCTTGTTTAAATTGCTGAGTCAGTGTTTTCAGATATTGCCGCCTGATTTCATTTTGATTTATAAGCTGACTTCCAACGATCCTTATGGAAAGGGGAACGTTGGCACAGTTGCCACAATATCTTCTCTTACATCAAATATCAAGACAGTCTTAGAAAGGCCTACTCGTTTCGTGTCTGATGGCTTCCTGCAATATTTGCCAGACCTCTTGACCGAGTAATCACTGCAATTCTACTACCCCTCCTACTTAAAACATATAGCACCATGTGTTTCCTGGAATTGAAGCATCCAATGCATCATATAGCACCAACAAACTTGCCAAACCTGAAGTCAAAGAAAGATGTTGATCAAGATTCTGATGTATTATCAGTACTCGTCTCTGAAATGCAAGCAAAACATAAACCTAAATGAGGCCTTCCAATAATCCAGTTCAAAACTTCAAATGAACTGTTACAAGACTTGCCAATTAGCCTAAAACGTGGATCCAATGAAAAGAACCAAAGCAACACTGATGGTTTTACTAATGCGCTAAATCAGAATATACATAGTTACTTTACTCACCAGCCTTACAGGAATCAGCAACTTCAACTCTCCATTAAGGAGTGAATATTAAGGTTCGTGCTGTCAAGATAAGGATTAGACACTTCTTAACGCATTGCACACTTTCTCATTATCAAGCAGAATGTAATATCACCCCTTCATTGATATTCGATTTGTATGAAAGCTGAATAAAAGACCAAAATATACATCAAGCACCTATAAAGAACTAGACGAGATTAAAAAAAAACATACAGACAAACAGGGAGGGGAGGGGCAGCAAGGACAAAAACTAAAACCTGCATTTCATGTACTCCATTTCCTGGAATTTCTCAGTTAACCAACCTATATAAGCTTCAAAAAACGATAAAGATACAGCAAGATCACTTGATTTATGTTACTTATTATGAACATTTCTCTGCTTCAGTTGGTAGTTCCTGACTTTTAGTTTATGATCTTCAAAAGGCCCCTACTTGCATCGGGCTCATTATTATCACCATCATTATGTGCGTGCCTATGTACTATGTAGAGAAGCATGAATGCCACAAAAGAAATATAGCAGTAGACTTATGAAATGGCCATTCATGTAAATATTACATACACCCCAATACCCCATCATTCTTTGTAATAAGAAAGGGAAGTTAACAAAACGATATCAGGTAGTCAGATGAACATACACAATACTTCTAAAGTCAAAAAAATTCACTGCAGTTTTCAAAAAAATTGAAAATTCAACCCCCGAAAATTTAGTACAGTGCCGAATGGGCAAACGGTAAAAACAATATAATGTGCTTTCTTAGACTGATTTAGCCCGGTAAGAAATTCAAGGATTTTCTTATACACAGAAATATAATAATATATCCTCAATTTTTACTTAATTTCCATAATAATTACGGAGTAAGTAAAAATATTTGCACTAAAAATCCTTCTCATCTTTATCATTTAACACCCTTTTTGTACACAATCAGATATTACTCCGTACCTTTTATCAGTAGAGCTGTATATGAACATTGACTGAAAGAATTCTTGTTGCCATGATTTCATAAACCTGAAACAAATAATAATAAATAAATAAAAATAAAAAAAAAGGTTAAGCAGGCAGCGTTAAAAATTGTTGCAGAATCTCAATTGAAAAGACAATAACAACCCCTATTCTTTTGTTCTATTTCTTACCCAGCTTAATGTCGGGGATATGTTGGATATTGGACCAGTTAGCGCCAGTCTTGTTCTCGCATTCCTTCGTTAACTCTGGGATGCATCCCCCTATATGAAGTTTGGTTAAGGAGGTGAGGTGGCGCATCTCTTCTGGCATTCTTTTAATTTTTTCACAATGCGTAATTCTCAGGGATTGGAGAGATGATAAGCATCCAATCCCCTTTGGCAGCTTCACCACCTTTGGCAGATCCAATAATGTCAAGGAACGGAGAGTGGGAGCAAGGTATCTCCATGGCATCTCTGCGTCACTTCCTTCATTATTATTATGAATGCATCCTTCTTCTGTGCTTTTGTTGTTGATGACATCATCTTCATCCTCCAATTCCAACTCATAAAGAAATCTCAATGACAGACTCTCCAGGGCAGTGAAATGGTCCCACACTCCTCGTCCTGATATACTCTTCAAATTATAGCATCGCCAAATATCAAGGGAGCGAAGAGAGGACAGGCGGCCGCTTCGGAACACCTCACCCACCTCTCCTGTTTTAAATTCCTTCATTTTCTGGTCACTGGAAAACAGAGATACGAAAGATGGTGGAAAGATCGGATGGGTAGAGAATTAAGATATGCCACGTTATCTATGTCCACTGTCCTCAAACTTCCATGTAGTCCTTCCTCCTTTTGCTGGGTAGTCTCCCTTATAATTGGGCCCAGCGCTTCATTAAAATCTTCTAAGTACAATTGTTGCAGTCCCGGACACAAAGGAAAAGCTGTCAATTCTGGACATTTTTCTATCTCAAGACCAGAAAGTTTTGGTGCTTGCGGTGTCTCACTCTCCTCTAATTCTAATTCTGATGATGGCTTCCACCATCCCTTCAACTTTGGCATGCGAGTAAGCCACATCGTTTTAAGGGATGGAAAGAATACCAACTCATCTTCATCTCCACTATTAATATAACTACTATTCTCTATATACTCCAGTTCTTCCAAAGTATATAATTTAAGGACTTTTAAATGACGCAGGTGACTCATCAATGGAAGTTGCTCCACTCTATTACAATCACTAATTACAATTTCAACAAGGTTTAGAAGACAACTTTTGAGATTCATTGATGAGCCCACAAACAATGTTGATGGCTTCCACCATCCCTTCAAATTTGCCATCTTTATAAGCTTCAGCTTTTCAAGGGATGGAAAGAATACCAACTCATTATCATCTCCATTATTAATACTACTACTCTCCATATACTCCACTCCATGCAGTTCTTTTAATCCAAGGACTTTCAAATGACGCAGTTGACTCATCATTGGGAGATGCTCCAACCTTTTGCAATCTCGAATCTCAATTTTAGCAAGATTTGGAAGACAGCTTTTGAGATTCATCGTCCAGGTTGGGAGCCTCACTCCTGGATAGCACGTAAACCTTAAGTTTCTTAGATTAGAGTGGGGTTTTAAGGCTTGTAGCAATACCTCTGTATTATTATACGCAAATTTCCAAAAGTACCAAATTTCCCGCAAATTTTGACTTTTCAATAGCATTCCCCTTCCTACTGCATCGTATCTTACATCTTCATTAACTATAATTTTCATAGTGCGAGTATAATTGGTGAAATCATCCAAATCTTCAAGCTGACCAACACCATCCGTTGACCTCCAACTCCAAGCTGCATTGCTTGTTGCACCTCCACTCACTGCAAACATTGTCAGCTTCTGCAGAGAGGTCATACTATTCATCCCTGGAGGCATGTGTGTTAATTTCCAGCAAGCATAAATATCAAGGTGCCTAAGATTAACTAATTTCCTCAACTCCCTTGGCAACGTTCTTAGTGCATCACAATTACGCAACTTTAATGTTTGCAAGTTATAAAGATTGGTAATGGATGAGGTCAAGATACCTTAGATGCACCAATTCACCTATCCCGCTCGGCAACTCTTCCAATCCTTCATAATTCTTAAAATTATTCAAACGTAATACCCTTAAATATTTTACGTTTGAAAAACCCTCCACAAACGGTTTCAAAGAGAAACTACGATCCCTTGGTCCCTCTCTACTATATAGAAATGTACGCATCCTTTGCATATCGCTCAACTTACCAACAATATCTTCAGGGGTACTTTCATGAGTTTCATCCATGTATACATGGCGGGTTTTCTTGTTAAAATTTCGTGTGCTGTAGGTGCACAACAATATGTCTGTCCCTGCTACTTCTTTGGCAAGATCATGAATCAGATCATGCATCTTGCATGATACAATTTCTTCAGTATCTTCGGCTCGTTCTACATCTTGGAAAAAGCACCTTTGCAGTAACTGCTCAAAATACTTGTCACCCGCATCTTCAAAACTCTCCCCATATGGCATAATGAAGCCTTGAGCCATCCAACGACATATCAAGTCCTCCTTGATAATCTTGTAATCCTTGGGAAATACAGCACAGTAACTAAAGCAACTCTTCAAATGGAATGGAAGATAATTGTAACTGATCTTCAACACAGGTATTATGCCATTGGCCTCATCTTGTATAATATTTTCCAAGTTATTTTTCAAATTCTGCCACTGACTTTCATCCTGACCTCGAAGAAGTCTTCCAATCACCCTAATGGCAAGTGGAACAGTTGCACACTTTCGAACAATCTCTTTTCCTATATCAACCAAGTTTGCCTCTGTTTGATGTTGCTCCGGTTCAAGCGTCATTCTTTGAAACAAATTCCAAGATTCTTCATCTGAGAGACCCTTCAATTCATGAGTCCAACAACTTCCCATGACAACAGCTACCTTTTTAGAGCGCGTAGTTACCAAAACTCTGCTACCCTTCCCACCTCCAACCAACAAAATTTTCATTGTCCTCCATACTTCAGAATTCTCATTCCAAACATCATCCAGAACAAGTAGATACTTGCTCCTATCAAGTCTTTCTCTAAGCTTTATCTGAAGCTGGTCCATAGTAAAGCCATCACTTTGATTAACCTGGTCGGTTGCAGCTGCAAGGATTTGACCAGCAAGTGCTTTGACATTGAAATTATCAGAGACACAAACCCACATCTTCAACGGAAATTCTCTCTTAATCTTGTAATCATTATAGACAAGTTGAGCAAGAGTAGTTTTCCCCAAACCTCCAATCCCAACGATGCTGACAACAGAAACATTCTCCTCAACAGTAGTGTCTAGTAACGTATCAATCAAAAGCCTCTTATCATCATCCCTCCCAATAATCACATCATTCTCCAGATTCACATGGGAGTGAGTTTCCCTTGGGTTATTTCTTACCCGGCTGTCCACGAAATCAACCGAGTGTCTAATCCCACAGGCAAGCTGATGATCATTGACAACATCATCCAACTCCTCCCTGATGCTTTTGATCTCTCGAGACCAAATGAAATCAGAACGAAGCTGATTAAAGCAAGAGCAAAAACGGGATACCTCTTTACTCAATTTGTTGCCAGGCATGAGCTTCTTGCGATGAGCAAAAGTAGTAACCTCGTCAAACAAGTCATCAGCTTGGTAAAGAGCTTCCTTAAGCCTTACAAGTATGCCACGTTCAACATGGGAGGGACAAACGTGGTGCCGCCGCTCCTGTTCTTCAGCATCAAGCAGGACATCCTGGATGGTGGACATGGTGAGCTTGAGTTTTTCAAGCTGAGATTGCACACCCAACACAGATTCAATCTCCGTCCAAATGGGGGAACCAAACACTTGAAGGATTGTTTGCACCAGTGAAAGACCTCCTGACACATCCATCTCTCTCTCTCTCTCTCTCTCTTCTCTCTTGTGTGTTAATGTTTTTTTTTTTCTTTTCAGGAATGCAGGGAAATGCAGAGGATTCAACAAGGGAGTAAGTTTTTTAGGTGTGAATGTTTATGATTTTTCAAAACACACCAAATTTACAGGCTTGTTTCTCCCCTAATAATTGAAAGACAGGCTGTCTTGAACCATCAAGTTATAGCCATTTTACTTTTTTTCGTACTCTACCTAGCTACTCGTTTTTTTTCAAGCATGCTATGAATGAGCAAAGTTTGAATCGGAGGACTACTGATTTGTCGTTTTTTACTCATATGGATTTAGGACCTATTTTAATTTGCTAAACTGTACTTAACAGAACTGAATTGAAAATAACAGGCGTTTTAATCCCATTCAAATTTACTCTTTGAAATTTTTACAGTAGTTTATTTATTAATTAATCCCTCTATCCACTTAAATTTTCTCAAACCAGTATAGTTTGTGTAGTAGTAAAATTGTATATTTACTACCATTTCTAACACAGAAAGATCACATCAAAGTAAAAAGTAAAAGCAGTGGGGGCAAATATAATGTACTGACATATAACGCGTAATGTTTAATTTTCCTTAGTGCAATGAATGTGATATGAATAATTGAGAGGAGTGATAATGCCATTGTATTGCTACTTTGCTAGTACGAGAAGAAGCAAAGTTGCCAATAATTAAGTGCTTTCATGGTGAATGAATGAGTAGTTTTTAGGTGTCTGACATAAAAGCACTCGTAGTAAATCAGGCCACAATTTGGACAAATTGCTTTCGTTTACTTGACTTGACGTGGGCACCCCACATGACAACTTTCAGAGTTGTAGCTTTATAGGGTACTTCTGAAGAACTCGTCAAATAAAAATACTACCTTCGTTTCATATTATTTGACTTGTGCTGTCAACTAATGAAAATATATGTCCATTACAGAGTATTATTAGAAAGCAAGATGAGACAAAGCTATCAACCTTGATTATAAAAGGATGTGCTGACATCATCTAGCAAAATCAGTGATTTACACATTAGCAAAATCACTAATGATGCTATCTAAGAAGTGTATTTCATTCAATCCATAGATATTTTATATAGTAGAAGTGCTTGCAAATTAAGAAGACAAAACTAGTCTTAGTTGGCTACAATGCATTGTGCGTGAGATCTACAACTTCAACAAAAAATGCAGTCTTTTTTGGAGCTTACCTGCGCATAACTGCATAAGCTCTCTTGGACATTTTCACAAACACCTTACGGGCATATGCTTCTTTACTTGAAATTTTTCACTGGATTCGAGGTAAAGGGGTAGTGGAGTTTTGTTGACTGCATATAATGTACGTTTGATTGTTTTTAGAAGCCAAAATGATAATCCAATGTTTTTATTGGGCACATGCACATATATAAGAGAAGGCATTATCGCCCTTAGGAGAATTCTTTGTATGAAGTCATTGGTAGCCAAAATGGTATGAGTGTTTTTTTTAGGCCTATGACTTTCTTAAGAGGCTTCGTTGTATACGCACATAAATTACGTAGTAATAGACCTAATAGCGTTAAGAATTTAAGATGGTTTGCGGGTTAGACACCTAATAGTGTTCAATTCCCACTAGAGGCACTTTGAGGTGTGGATCCCTTATCCTTCTCCCCTCATTCTTAAAGTGTCTGACCCGTAAATACCGTATCAAAAAAACGTGAGGGTTGAAGTTCGGTCAGGGTCTTACTACTTATCATTTAAAAAAAATGTGTTAAGTCGGTTTGATGTACAACATTTGATGTGTCATGTACTCATGTGTGTCTCTTAAGCTCTTCGGCTCTTCGCATTCCTCCCTTTAAAAGCGTGGCTATAAGACCTTCATTCCACGAGTCAATGTACGTGAAAAGATTGCTCTATTTTCATTTTTAGATGGAATGGACCCTGCACTTTATCTCTACTTCTTTTATAACCTCATTTATTTTTTAAAGTTTTTAGCTATGGAGTACAGTTTAGTTTTCTTAAAAAAAACATAAAAAAAAAGAAACAAAAAACAAAAAAAAAACCTACAATTATATATAAATAAATCTTTTTTTTTTTGACAATACAATTCTTAACAAAGTAAAAACTAGAGATGAGGGCGAATGAGACCAGACTTTAAGAGACCGAGGAAGTAAAAGATTTAATACTAGTGAATTTAGAAACTACACATTTTAGTTGATTGGTGTAAAAGTGGCTCTTTTAATCGATTGGTATTAGGCAAAACGAAGAAAATAAATTTCTAAGTATATTAACCTAAATCCTCAATAAATACGATGTACATATTACGAAGTACTTTGTATCTATTTTGTGGAGGTTAATGAGTAATTTACATTTAAACCAATTAAAAGAGGTGAAGTTGAGCAAGATGAATCAAATCTACCTAAGATGTCTTGATTTGAGTTTTAGCTCTGAGAGGAAACTAGTCTTATTTCTTTTACATAAAAAGTGTTCCCTACTAGCGTCTTTCATTGGTCCAATTCTGAGCAAAACTAATTTAAATTGGCTAGTTTGGTCCAACAATTTTGAAGAGCAATGTAAACACCATTGTATGGCTATTAGCCTATTGGAACATTGGCACACTTACAAACGAATTCCGTGTTCCAGTATAGACCAATCGTGCCACTATTCGACCCTTTTAGCTGGAAATGACGGGATTGGAGGTTATATGAACGACAGGTTGAAATATTCTAGGTCAGGTAGGTTGTGCTATATGAGATTAAGAGTACCCTGCTATAATCAGAAAAATCCAGTGTAATAAAAGGGATACATCAGTAAATTGTACACAACCTTTCCATCTTGGATTCTTGGTTAATAAATGGACAAGAAGTTTATATTTCAGAATGCTAACTGAATATAATTTACATTCCTTGTTACTTCTTAAGATCATCAAGAATCACATCATGCATATTCTGTCTACAATAACTCATCTCCAACACAGGTACAATCCTATTCACATCTTGTTCAAATTCCGAAATCAGTAATTTTCAAGTATTGCCACCTGATTTCACCTTGATTTTGAAGCAGACTTCCAACGTCCCTTATAGAAAGTAGAATGCTGGCACACTTGCCACCCCAAGTCTACAATATCTCTTATATCGACCAGGTGTGCATTATTTGATGCTACCCTGGTTCATGTGTCACTCAACCAATAACAAGACTATCCTGGAAAGGCCTCTTCGTTTCATATGTCGTGGCTTAGTGCAATATTTGCCACACCTCTAGTAGTCACTGCAATTCTGCTACCCCTCCCTCTTAGAACATGTAGCTCCATTTGTTTTCAGGAATTGGAGCATCAAATGCATTACATCACCAACAAACTCTCTAGACCTGAAGTCAAAGAAAAGGTTTTGAGATTCTGATGTTTTTATCAGTACTCTTGTCTCTGAAATGCAAGCAAAACATGAACCTAAGAGAGGGCTTCCGATAATCCAGTTCAGATGAACTGTTACATGAAACTAGACCTGCCAGTTAGCCAAACATGTGGATCCAACGAAAAGAACTAAAGCAACACTGATGGTTTTACTAATGCGTTGAATCAGAATCAGTTGACTTACAGGCCTAGCTTGCAGGAATTTTCAACTTCAACTCTTTATTAAGGAGTGAATATAGTTTCGTGTTGTTAAGATAAGGATTAGATATTTCTTAACGCATTGCAAGCTATCTCATCATCAAGCAGAATGTAATATCACCCCTTCATTGATATTTTATTTGCATGAAAATCTGAAGAAAAGCACGAAATATACATCAAGTACCCATAAAGAACTAGACAAGATAAAATATATATATATATATATACATACAAATAGGTTGGGGAGGCAGCAAGGATAACATATAATAACCTGCATTTCATGTACTCCATTTCCTGGTATCTCTCTGTTAACCAACCTAAGCTTCAGATAACAATAAGGATACAGCAAAACAGATCACTTGATTTATGTTACATACATTGAACATTTCTCTGCTTCAGTTGGTAGTTCTCTGACTTTTTAGTTTATGATCTTCGAAAAGCCCTTATTTACATCGGGCTCATTACTATCACTATCATTATGTGCGTTCCTATATAAAGAAGCATAAATGCCACGTAAGAAATAAAGCAGTAGACTTACAGAATGGTCATTCATGCAAATTACTCCCTCCATGTTTAAATAGATGAAGCATTTTCCTTTTCCGACCATGTTTAAATAAATAAAACATTTCCTTTTTTAGTAACTTCCTTCTATTTTTAATGATATTCTCTCTATTTTTTAATACATTCTACTAGCTATGGTTCCCACAAAATCCCTTAGTCTCTTCTCTCTCCTCAATTTATACCCTCCTACCTTTTTTTATTTAATTTTTTTTTATTCCGTAATAAATTTAACTAATTTTCCTAAAACTCCAAAAAAGTCAAAACGTTTCATTTATTTAAACAAGAATAGAGTACATACCTGTATCATTCTTTGTAATAAGAAAGGGAAGTTAACAAAACAATATTTTGGTAGTCAGATGCACAAACACAATACTTCTAAAGACAAGAAAATTAACCAGAGAATAGGGAAATGGTAAAAACAATGTGCTTTCCTAAACTAATTTAGTCCTGTAAGGATTTTCTTATACACAGAAATATATCCTCAAGTTTTTGTTTTTTGAATAAAAAATATAGAAAAATAAATAAAAATCATGCATATTCTTTTTGAAAAATTATGTACATAATTAAGTAAAAATCCTTCTCTTCCTTATCATATAACACCATTTTTGTATGTAATCAGATATTACCTTTTATTAATCGAGCAGTATATGAGCATTGACTCAAAGAATTCTTGTTGTGATTTTAAATATCTGAATCAAATAGAGTAGAAAAAAAATGATAAGCAGGCAGCGTTCAAAATTGTTGCAGAATCTAAAGTGAAAAGAAAATTACAACCCCTATTCTTTCTTTCTTACCTATGTTCGGGATATGTTGAATATTGGGCCAGTCAGCGCCATTCGGGTTCTTGCATCTTTTCTTTAATTCCATTCTACACCCCCTAATATCAAGATGAATTAAGGAGGTGAGGTTCCGCATCTCTTCTGGCATTGTTTTCAATTTCGAACAATTTTGAATAGTCAGGGAATGGAGAGATGATAAGCATCCAATCCCCTTTGGCAGCTTCACCACCTTTGGTAGATCTTTTTATTCTAAGGAACGGAGAGTGGGAGCAATGTGTCTCCATGGCATCTCTACTTCATTTTTAATGCATCCTTCTTCTGTGCTTTCATTGTTGATGACATCATCTTCACCCTCCAATTCCAACTCTTCAAGGTCATACAATTTTAGACTCTCAAGGGCAGTGAAATGCTCCCACACTCCTCGTCCTGATATGCTCTTTAATTTACGGCATTTCTCAATTATAAGGCAGCGAAGAGAGGACAGGCGACAGCTTCGGAACACCTCCCCCGCAGCTCCTATGTTCAATCTCTCCATTTTGTCGTCATTGCAATTACAGAGATTAGAAAGATGATGGAAAGAGTGGATGGGCATAGAATTTAGATATCCCACGTTATCTATCTTCTTCACTTCCCTCAATCTTCCCGGCCTTACTTTGTCGTCTTGCTGCTGCTGTTTTTCATTAGACAAATCATGAGTAGTCTCTCTCATAATTGGGCCTAGTGCTTCATTAAAATCGATCAATTCCAATTCTTCCAGTCCCGGACACAAAGGAAAAGTTGTCAAATTTGGACAATTTAAAATTATAAGATGAGAAAGCATTAGTGCTTGTGGTGTCTCACATTCTGATTCCGACTTCCACCATCCCTTCAACTTTGGCATTTTGATAAGCTTCAACTTTTCAAGGGATGGAAAGAATAACAACTCATCATCATCTGCTCCACCAATAGTATTACATCTACTCTCCACATACTCCACTACATCCAATCCTTCTAATTCAAGGACTTTCAAATGGCGCAGTTGACGCATCCATGGAAGATACTCCAATCTGTAACACTTATATATTTTAATTTTAACAAGATTTGGAAGACAAGTACTGAGATTCATTGATGAGCCCAGCACTCCATCAAATTCTGGACAGAAAGGAAAAGTTTTCAAGTTTGAACAATATCGTATATTAAGATGAGAGAGCTTTGCTGCTTGTGGACTCTCACCTTTCCTTGATTCTGATGACGACTTCCACCATCCATTTAACTTTGGCATTATGAAAAGCTTCAGCTTTTCAAGGGATGGAAAGAATACCGACTCATCTTCATCTCCACTATTATTACTACTACTACCCTCCACATACTCCACTTCATTCAAAACAGCCAATTCAAGGACTTTCAAATGGCGCAGTTGACTCATCAATGTAAGATGCTCCAACCTTTGACAAAAATGTAACCCAATACGAACAAGATTTGGGAGACAAGTATTGAGATTCATCATCCAGATTGGGAGCCTCACTCCTGGATATTCACACAACTCTAACTTTCTAAGATTAGAGTGGGGTTGTAAGCCTTGTAGCAATTCTTCTGCATTATTATTCTTCTCTTCCCACCGGTACTCAATTTCCAACAAATTTTGACAATTTAATAGCATTCCCCCTCCTGTCGCTTCTATTGCAACGTATCCCACACCTTTTTTAACTATAATTTCCATTGTGTGAGTATAATTGGTGAAATCATCCAAATCTTCAAGCTGCCCAACACCAGTTGACCATAAATTCCAAGAAGCATTGCTTCTTCCACTTCCACTAACCACAAACATTGTCAACTTTTGCAGAGATTTCATGCTATTCATCCCTGGAGGCATGTGTGTCAAACTCTTGCAACCAGATATATTAAGGTGCCTAAGATTAACTAATTTGCTCAAATCCCTTGGCAGCCTTAATAGTTTCGTACAGCTAAACAACTCTAAAGTTTGTAAGTTATAAAGCTTGGTAATGGATGAGGGCAATACACAGAGATGATCACTAAATGAGAGGTCAAGATACCTTAGAAATTCACCTAACTGGCTTGGCAACGTTTTCATATTATGAGTCAAACACAATACCCTCAAGTACTTCATTTTTGATACCTCCACAACAAGACTTTTGAAAGAGAAAGGAAGAACATAACATAGAAATGTACGCACCCTTTTCATCTTGGTCAAATCACCAAGAAATTCTTTAGGAATACTTCCACTAATAAATACATGGCGAGTTTTTTCGTTAAAACATCGTTTGCTATAATTGCACGACAATATTTCTTTGCCTGCTACCTCTTTGGCAAGATCATGAATCAGATCATGCATTTTAAATGATCTAATTTCATCAGTACCCTTGGCTAGTTCGTCATCTTGGAAGAAGCATCTCTGTAGCAATTGCTCAAAATACTCTTCACCGACATCTTCAAAGCTCTCTCCATCTGACGGCATAATGAAGCCTTGAGCCATCCAGAGACAGATCAAGTGCTCCTTGGTAATCATGTAATCCTTAGGTAATACAGCACAATAACTAAAGCAACTCTTCAAATGGAACGGAAGGTAATTATAACTGATCTTCAACACAGGTATTATGCCATTGATTTCGTCTTGTACAATGTTTGCCAAGTCAGTATTTTTCAAAATTTTCCACTTACTTTTCCCCTGACCTCGAAGAAGACTTCCAACCACTCTTATGGCTAGTGGAACATTGGCACACTTACGAACAATATCTTTTCCGACATCAATTAAGTGTGATTTCAGTGGGTGTTCCTCATGTTTGAGTGCCATTCTCTGAAACAATGTCCACGAATCTTCATCTGAGAGACCCATCAATTCATGTGTCCAGTGAGGGCAATGACTTCCCACAACATCAGCTACCTTTTTGGACCGAGTAGTCACTAAAATTTTGCAAACCCGCCCATCTCCGCTCAACAGATTTCTCAACTCAAGCCACTTACCAAGATCCTCATTCCATACATCATCCAAAACAAGGAGATAATTCTGCCCATCCAGTTCTTCTCGAAGTTTCATCTGGAGGTGGTCCTTACTCAAACCATGCTTGATTACAGGGTTTTTAGGGTTTGCAGCTGCAAGGATTTTACCAAGAAGCACTTTGACATTAAAATCATCAGAGACACAAACCCACAACTTCCGAGTGAATTTCTTCACAATCATCTCATCATTATAAACCTGTTGGGCTAGAGTAGTTTTCCCCAAGCCTCCAATCCCAACTATGCTGACAACAAAAACATCCTGCTCAACAGCAGTGTTGAGTAACTTATCTATCACTTTCTGCTTATCATCAGCCCTCCCAATGATCTCATCTTTCTCCTCACACACAAAGGAATGAGTTTCCCTTGCATCAATTCTCATCTGCTTAGCATCGAGACCAACAGGGTGTCTCAAGCTAAAGTTATGGCGATGATCTTTCACAATGTCCTCCAACATCTCCAATATGTTGTCCATCTCTTGCGACCAATTGAAAGCAGAATTAAGTTGATTAGAGCGAGAGAAGAAAAGGCATGCCTCATTACACACCTTGTTGTTACATGAGTTGAGCTCTTTGAGATGACCAAGAGTGGCAATCTCGTCAAACAAGTCATCACATCGGTAAAGAGCCTCCTTAAGCCTCTGAAGCCTGTTACGTTCAACACGGCTACAACGATAGTGCTGCAGCTGCTCTTGTTCTTCAGCATCAAGGAGCACAGCCTCAATAGTGGACATGGTTTCTCTGAGTTTGTCCAGCCGGGATTCCAAACCCAATACACCTTCAATCCTCCACCAAATGGGAGAACCCAACACTTCGATCACAGATTTCACCAGTGAAAGAGCTCCTGACACATCCATCTCTCTCTCTCCCTTTTCACTTGTGGGTTAGAGTTGCCTTTTCTTCTTTCTTTTTTTTTTTTTTTTTACACAAGACTTGCTTTTTTTAAGGAATGCAAAGGAACAAATTAGTTGAAAATAACGTAGTGAGTTGTCAGTGTCAAAACTTTGGGTATATTAGATTGCTTTTCAAGATTATTTGGGTTGTCTTTCGATCATTAATTATCTTTGATTTAATTGCACTATTTTAAACTAGACATTAAATGCAACAAATTTGTCGTAAATACATTTTCTGGGAGATGAAATATTGGCATATTGGTATGAGTGTCATTACAATTTACAAATACGTAGTAAGTAATCTACCAGATGGAGTGTCAACATGTCACGTGACAATCATCCAATCAAATCCCAACAAAGTGTAGTAGTGTACTGTAGTGTAATATTGTGAAGTGGAAGAACGTGAAGTTATCGCTATACTCGTAAATATTTTTGACTTGGTGATATTTAATATACTTGGTACATGAATTAACTGAATAGACATTAGATTCCCTGAGATTTAGGTTATTGGCACTTCACACTTGCAAATTTTATACTGTATCTGTAATATACTTTGTAGTCCGTTGTCCGTATATATTATATTATGCTGTGAACATTTTTATATTACGTATTATGGTCTTGCGTCAACATTTTATTACTACACTCTTTTCTACCACTTTCACTAGCATTATTATATGTCATAATTGCTAGTAATTTTATTTTCTTAAAAAATTGTCTTGGTAATAGTAATTAAGTTAGAAATCAAGGGAGTATGAATGCAATATTCCCCATTTTAGTGAGGTTTGATTTATTTTCAATAACGAGTGGTGAAAGTCTCGAATTCGAGCACATAAATGAAAAAAAATAAGAGAGGATTAGGGAGGTGAAGGGAATAGAGTAGAAAGAGGGTTACTTTGTTAGTTGTTACTATGGAGTATTAATTTAACTATAGGGCTCTGTTCTACAACCACGTATAACAAGCAACAAGTGTATTAGTCTATTATAAACGTGTACCATGTACAACCTAGAATATTGTTGGGTCGAGTACTCGGGTGTACCTTTAAACCACAATTTTACGTAGTACTTCCATTAGATTGTTGATGCTCCCTAGTTTGTTTCCATCTATCCAAAGTCCTCTGTAAATTGAATTATCTAATTGAAGTGCTTGCAAAAGAAGGACAGTGAACATAGAGAACACATAGAATTAAAAGTGGTAATTGACTTATTTCATCGCTAAAATATAGAGTATAATTAAGAATACAATGTTAGCTTAAAGTGGTGTGTGTAGAATTAAACCATTCACATTTAATTGATGGAGTTTATGGAGCTTACCTGTGCATATGCCCTCCTAGACATTTTGACAAACACCTTGTGGGCATGATGCTTCGCTCTTGGTCTCTTTGACATTTTGACGAACACCTTGTGAGCATGATGTTTTGCTTGCTTGATTGCTGCATGTATTGTTGATTGTTGTTAGTAGCCAAAATGATGTGAGGGCCATTGTTGGGGAGAATCGGGAGATATAGATATGAGAAGCCTGTATTGGAGATATAGCCATTCTTACGGCTTCTTTGTACGAAGCTGTTTATTTGCTCATTAACTCAATGAAAGGATTACCGATCATCCAAAAGATGTGTAAATGTGTAATAACATTATGTATTTATGTGTGCGTTGTCTCATTTTTGTTTTCAATCATCTTTATTTCTTTTAGTTTTAAAATATTGTCTACAAATTAACACTTTTTTTTGGTACCGTCTCATTCTATATACTACATCCGTTATACGAGTATATTATTTGCAACGATTTGACATAAAGTAGAGTGGAAAAATAATATGTAACGGAAATAACTGTACAAAGTATTGAACAATAAATTAACCTATTTCCAAAAAAAAAAAAAAAAAAAAAAACCTTACATTCGATAAAACAAAAAACTACTCCCTCCGTCTCTAAGGGTTTGTTAACTTCAATTTAGTTTAGTTCAACTCTTAATTTTCTTCTCTCGTAAAATATTCATTTTAGTTCAGTTCAGTTTAGTAAATGTGAACAGATTCTACATTACATTCCTACTTCTCTATATTATGTGAGAAATAAATGCTAGAAGTAGAAATGTAATTTAGAGAGGGAGGGAGTATCATATTGGCATATTAATAAAGTGAAGATTGGATAATGTATTGAATAATCTACCTAAATGGACAATAAGGCATGTATTGAAGCGCTGCAAAACGATCAAGTGTAAAGAGGCGAGTGTATTAACATAATCCGGGAGTGTTGTAGGATTATTAATTCTTTTGGTCAAAACTCTTGTATTTTTCATTATTATAGAAAGGGGAATATAGAAGCGGATCGATTAGCGAATTCAGGTGTTCGCCATAATGAGAGAGTCAAGTATTTTGATGACTCCCCGTCAAAATATGAAATTCTCTTAGAGAAGACATCATAGGGGTTACTACTTGTCTATTCCTAGGTTTATTTCTTAATTTTATTGTTCTATGTTTCAAGCTTTACCATCTTTCACACCAAAAAAAAAAAAAATTAAATAAATAAAAATAAAGTGAAGATCAGAGATCGGGGAGTAAAGGGCTAAAAGCTTAGGAAGACGCCCTAGTTTATCTTATGACAAACATGCTTTTGAGGGCGTATATTATTCCGTATTATGGAGTATTGCACTATTTCCATTTATTAAAAACTTTTCATAATATTTTACTAATTTATTTCTCCAAGTGAATCTCATAATTATTATACTTAAATATTTTTCATATTCTCTATCCTCTCAACTATCACTTTATTCTTTCACCAACCTTATTTCCTCCCTATTTTATTACTGTACAAAGTACTTTCTACAATTTCTCCTAAAACTCCGCGCATGGAGAAACGAAACAAGTAATAAAATACGAAGGGAGTGTATTTTTTTTTTATATAGTGTCTTCTAGCTGTCCTTTTCTTCAATTTATCTAATTAATAGAGTTAAGCTTCATTCTCCATTGAAAATGGATTTCTCCTTCTTCCTCCATTGAAGCTGACTTTTTATTCCTTGCGTGATTTTCACCAAACACCACCATCCCCAGGGACTTCACCGCTAAATCAAACGAGAACCCTACTGTATTAGAAAGGATGAAATTAAGGATATTGTCAATCTCAAAGGGTCGAGATGATTATATCCTCTATTGAGGCTTTTATTAAGATTGAATTTTTATTTTTTTTTTCCATTAAAGTTTTCATTACGAATGATTTTTTCCATTATAGCCCTTCAAACTTTATCCTCCATTAAGGGTCTGTTCTCTTACGTTTCAATTCAGTTCAGTTCAGTTCAGCTCTTAATTTTCTTCTCTTATAAAATATTCATTTCAGTTCAGTTCAGTTCAGCTGAGTTCAGTCAATGAGAACAGGCCCGTGATATCGACGCTTTAAATAACAAAAATTTCTGGTGGTAGAATGTAAACTCATGAAATTACCATATTACCCATACTTATGTAATGTAAATTACCATTTTAACCCTAGTTAAATACTTTGTTTTTTTTTTTTTTTTTAATAGAACCCTGGTTAAATACTTAAGGCTTATTAGGAAGATAAACTTGTATTTTCACTTTGCAAAATACACGCTTAATTAATTGGTATAAAAGTAATTATTCTAGTTAGTTGGCGCATGATGATTAGTTATTGCGGTTCAAATTTTATAGCTTTATTGGTCCGTTGAAGAGGAACCAAACATATTAACAGAGCCTTAAGCTTAAGCCTTAACAGCTTAACGTTGTTGACATTAACAAAGTGCAAACTCTTGTTGATCCTCGTTATTATCGCCCTTGATTTGAGTTATTTCCTCTTTCAGTTGAACTACTTACTCTTTCACGCCCACACTCACTGATACTTCTTCATCATCTTCTTCTCCTTCATTATCTTCCTCCTTCAACTCAACCTCGATTTTCTCTCTCCTCAACAACAATGGCGTCAACAGCTCTCTCTCACTCCCTCACCTCTCCTCTCAATTCCCACTCTTCTCTCTCTCATCGCACCAATCGCACTCTCTCTCCCAACTTCTCTCCCCCAATTCCCCTCTTAAAATTCAGATCTCTTTCTCTCTCCTCCTCAATTCCTCCCTCTTTCGTCACCCGCGCTTCTTCCGACGCTTCTGCTAGCAATTCCACCGATGAAATTCCCATTGAAAAGCGTTCGTATTCTCATTAATTGCTTTTCATCAATTGCAGATATCGTTAATTTTGATGATTGAAATTTATGATTTTTTTTTGGGTGCAGGAATTCCGGCATTTCCCACTGTTATGGATATTAATCAGATTCGCGACATTTTGCCACACAGGTGAGTTTGTATGTTCTTAAATTGCTTCAATTTTTGCCTCTTTTTGGTTTAATTTTTGAATATAGGGTTTAGGGTTTGGAGATATTGAATTGGGTGTTGATATTGTGTATAGGTTTCCGTTTTTGCTAGTGGATAGAGTGGTAGAGTATAATCCAGGAGTTTCCGCAGTTGCGATTAAGAATGTGACAATTAATGATAATTTCTTTCCTGGCCATTTTCCTGAGAGGCCTATTATGCCTGGTGTTCTCATGGTTGAGGTATGAACTTTGTTTTCAGTTTCGTGTTTTTAATTGTATTGTTATCAATCTTCATTTAATGGAAAATTGTGATATATATTGCCACATTGTTGAATTTTCGTGAGATTGTAGTCTGTGCTATCTGTTTTGGGTTTTTAGTATGAAGGTTTGCTTGTAATTATTGAAAATAATGGTTTGTTTTCTGTTTGTGAACTTCTATGATATTGCTTTAGGGACAATGGAGTAAATTTGAGTGGGATATGGATCCTTCCCTTAGGTCTGATTTTCTTTTGTGGCTTGGTGCGTGTGTGGGGAGTTGTTCCTTGGATTGAATTAGCTTATGATTTGTTTAGGTGCTGTTTAAAACTCATCTGGTTGGCATTAAGGATATTACTTAGGGTCTTTGTCCTCTTTGAAAGTTAAGGTAGAAGTGGTGTATGTATACAGTTTTCCTGATTATTGGATACTATGATGGTGCAAACTTTTATAATTCCAATGAACCTTCAGTATGTTAACCTGTTGTCATGAGCCAAAGAGATTTGGTGATGTAAAATTTTCTGATCTTATTTTGATAGATACCATAACATACATAAATGTGAGAGAATTCGAACCATAATGAGTGATTTGACAAACAAAGCTATTGCAAAGCAGAGGCTTTTGCCTATGGAGCACCAGCCCAAATCATGCAAGGGAAATTAATTGGAATGTTGTGTGTGGTTTGGGGAATAAGATGTATATGTTCATGGGTTTGCATTAGTTTGGGGGGATTTCCATTGATTACCAACTGTAGACCTTTATGAAGGGCAATTGACATGATATGAAAAATAGGAACGTAATCTGTAGCATTTATTAATACATGGATTACCAATTGTAGACCTTAAATGGCTTGAATCATTTGAATTTTCTGACATAAATTATTAATGTTTTGAAACAATAGTGTTTACTTAGGGTATGTTGGAGGTGTGAAGAAATATATTATATTCAAGTTTATGGTGGTCAGAGTTGCTTGGAGGTTTTTAGAACCACAACAACCAACCTCCATAGAGTTAGATTTCTTTTTTGAGTTTTTGCCTATGTCTTGTTCTGGTGTGGTGCTGATTAAGAAGTTATTTCTCTCTTTCTCTTTCTTCTCTATGGAGGTTGTGGTCTTTTGGGTTTTTGATTTTCTGGTGTTGGGTATAAGGTGGGTTGTGGTTGGTGGAAAGTCGTGCATGTGCTTTGCGTATGTCTTGTTCTGGTGTGGTGCTGATTAAGTGGTTAGTTCTCTCTTTCTCTTTCTTCTCTGTGGAGGTTGTGATGTTTTGGGTTTAGGATTTTCTGGTGTTGGGTATAAGGTGGGTTGTGGTTGGTGGAAAGTCGTGCATGTGCTTTATATTGGGTGGTTAGAGAAGAGGGCTTGAGTTGTTGGTGGTGTATTGTCAAGTGAGAGTGTGCTTGGGCTTTGACACTCTGTGGTGGTTGAAAGGTGATGGTGGCAATGGTATGGGTCTAGTGTCAGTTTTGAATCTGACATGACTTATGGTGGACTGCCAGATTGGTGTGAGGTTGGTAGTGGTTGAGGGAAATGCAATAAATACTCTGGATCCAAGTTGGAGCTGGAAATGATGTAGTAGAAGGATTATAGGAAATCCTAAATGGATTTTTTTTTTTTTTTTTTTTTTTTTTTTTGGGGGTGGGGGGTGGGGGAAGAGAATTCATATAATAATAAAAAAAAAAAAACAATAAATAAAGGAAGTTTGGATATCAATTACCTTTCCTATTTTGAGTACCCCTTACCAAAATTTAAACCTTTGCTGACGTTATTATAATGTTGAAAGTTGAGTTGGATGTCTCAATCTTATAAAGTTATATTTTTAAAATGATCTTGTATATAACTGTACTCTAGCATATTTTACCTTGCTCGTAGAGCTTGTGTGGTAATATGGAGGTAATGAAAATTAAGGTTTAGACAGTTTTGCGGTCTATGAGAAATCTGAATAGAAGTCACCTCTGGAGTAGTAATAGTTTGCAACCTGGCCAACTCAATTGTGATGTATACATCATTTAATTCCCCTTTTGCATTTGTTAGTGCCCAGTTTGTATGTTGTTGGGAAGGTGTATATCATATCTTATATGGTAATGTTCCCTGTATATAGGAAAGCATCTCCATTCGACCTTTTTACAAAATTTCTTGAGAGGAAGAATGCAAAAATAAAAAATACTCCACATTTTTAGTTATTGCTTTGGACTTCATCAAGCTAGGTCATTCTTAGTCAAACAAGCAGAGCTTTTGCCTCAAAAGATTGTTCGATTTGTTTCTTTCTTCCTCCATAGATTAATCTTTGTAAGAATGCTCCATTATAAAAGATTTCAATAGTGGTGTGCTCTTTTTGTTTAAGAGAGGACCACCAGGAGTTTGTCCTTGTGAGTTAGACAATTTTGTCTTCAATGGGTGAACCGAGATTAAGCAGAATAAGAATTTGAATTGAAATCCTTTATTAATTGTCCTAAATCTATTTATGCTCTGTTTGTATTGTGCAACAACAATCAGCTATTTATCGATTTTTTCTGTTAAATTTGAGGGCTTCATTTTTTCCCCTTTTTATCTAATCTTCTATGGGTTCTATCTATAAGACCTCAAATTGGGATTAACAATGACATTGACAATAAGTTTATTACCTGCATTTAGGCAATGGCACAAGTTGGTGGTCTGGTCATGCTGCAACCAGAAGTTGGTGGTTCCCGTGACAATTTCTTCTTTGCTGGTATTGACAAAGTAAGATTCAGGAAGCCAGTGATTGCTGGGGACACTTTGGTGATGAGAATGACACTCGTCAAACTACAAAAACGCTTTGGTATAGCAAAAATGGAAGGCAAAGCATATGTTGATGGTGAGGTAGTTTGTGAAGGAGAATTTTTGATGGCAATGGGTAATAGTTCAAGTGAATGATCATGTCTTCAAGATTTTTATTTGTTTTTGCAACATTAATTTAAACTAGAATTTGCAGAAGACAAAAATCTTCTGTAATTCTTTGTCCACTCGGAATCCTGTAGTACCTAATACATGAGTTGAAGAGTGCAATTTAGATTATTTTATTATGCTTTCAAGCCTTAAGTTTATGTCCTAATTTTTTTTTCCTTTCAAAATTATTAAAGGGTGGGTAACACAATCTAACAAATTGGGAGGGCAGTGTTTTTTTAATATGTAGGAAAATTACACAATTAACTTATTTCGGTAAGATACAGATACAGAGGATATTATAAAAAAAAATGTGGTTTATTATTTAGGGAGAACGGAAATAACTGATATTATTCTGTCCAATTTAGATTTGCTGAATTGTCATTTGTCAAGGGATGAAGTGGTCTTCTATCATTGTACATGATTCAAACCACAGTTTGAGACTTACCACCGTGTCACATATTCACACTGTTCATTTTTCTAGAGGGTATGAAATTTTTATTCTTAGTCTCTCGGTCTCTCCATTAAGAATAGTTGGGTCACATCTTATATTCATAGTCTCACCATTAAGAAGTGCCTTGTACACATCATGTATCAAGAGTAAACGGAAGAAGTATTTTTGGAGTCAAATTTAGCATGAGCGTGCTTGCGACGTAAATTATTTGATTGTTGGAGATATTAATGTTCAAGATTTATGAAAATTAAACTCTGACATTCTAAAGTACTTATTGATTAGGGGATTTTGCTCCCACCAATCACCATCTGACAAGTGGACCAATCAGGTTCCGCCATGTGTCCGTCACATGGGTCAATAGGAGCCTGCCACGTGTCAAGCAATGATCCGTCCACCATGGACCAATTACGACACGACGCGTGTCCTTCCCATGACACCTGGGATAACCGGTCACCTAGGCCCAACTTCCGAGGGAAGCCCAATCAGCCCAAGGTTAACCTAAACCTAGATTGGCACGTTTCCCGAGGTTATAAATACCTCCCTTAATCCTCATTAAGGGGGATTACACGCAGATTACACACATTAAACACTCTCACCTAGAGAGATCCAATCACTTTGATTTCCGCATTAATTACTCCTTAATCAAGTACTAACTTGACCGTTGGAGGCGGAGCTCCCACCACCAGGAGTCTCCGTTGTTTTGCAGGTACAGGCGTCCGGTTCCAGTCTCGGAATTGTAACTCTCCCGCAGGACATCAGAAAACCCCGAAACATTTGGCGTCGTCTGTGGGGAGAGTACTTCTGAGATGGCATCCACGTTTGTACCGACTCCTGAAGAGAGGCGTCCCCTAAACGACCCTCAAGTTAAGTCGGACCACGATACTGAGAATGAATTTGAAGTTGAAGCTCACACAGCTTCAGACGGGACCCTAAGGGCCCGACGTACCCGTCATACCGAAAGGAGGGAACGGGAACATCTTCAAACTGGAAGTGAGCCAGCAGGCGCACCGCCTGTTCGGCAGCAGCCGACTGATGGGTCTGCTCCCATCACAAGGAACGAACTCATGACCTTCATGAGGGACTTCAAGGGAGAAATTCAAGAGTTGATCAACAAGAAGCCGCCTGCTCTGGACGGAGCAGTCGGCTAAGAAACCCTCCACTTCACTGAAGAGGAAACCAGCTCAAGGGCGAGAGGCGACCCCTCATCCTAAATCTAGGAAGTGGGAGCCACCTGCCCTTGATTTCACAAAATACCGTTTTCCTACTCCAGGAAATAGGAAACCTGTTCGTCATGTTCAGGCGGACGGGTCGAGGAAAACATACACAGACGAGTCGGCCTCTACTTCAAACTTCCAAGACAGTCTGCGAAATACCTCGATGAGGCATACTTAGTCGTATCATGAGAGTCAGTCAGGCGGCACCTCCCGTCAGTCCGGCTTTCATAGCGACCAGGCGGTACCAAACTTACCGTTTGTACCGCAACGACAGTATTTTTTACAGCCACCTCCGTTTGGTGGACATGCAGCAAAAAACGTCCAACCTATGGACTGGCAGCTACGGTTGCTTAGACTTGGCGAACAGCCATCGGCCTTCTCCAAGGAAATTACTGAAGCCGCTCAGCCGGCCAAAGTGAAAAATGTATTAGTAGGCGCCTATGACGGCACTACTAACCCAGAAGACCATCTGATGGCATTCACCAACCTGATGTACCTTCAAGGGTTGGATGATCCCACTTGGTGCAAGTGTTTCCCAGCGACTCTCAAAGGAATCGCACAACAATGGTTCGGCAACCTGCCGACTGGTTGTGTAAATAGCTTCAGGACGCTTGCTTACTTATTCACCTCCAACTTCGCCATGAACATCCCTGCGAAGAAGACGACCCTTGATTTAGGAACAATTCAGCAGGGCGAGAAGGAGGGGCTTCGTTCTTACATCAGGCGGTTTAACCTGATGAGAATACAGATTCAAGGGTTACCGGATGAAGTAGCCTATACTGACTTTTTCAGAGGTCTCAAAGACGGGTCGACCTTCAAATTTGATTTGGTCCGAAAGAGGGTGGCGACTCTTCAAGAGGCCTTGATTGAAGCGGAAGCCTATATACAGGCGACTGATCTTTGTAGTACGGGAAAACAGTCGGACGGGAAAAGGTTCGACAAAAGAGAAGGACGACAGAAACAGTCGTCAAACAAAGACGAGAAGAGAAAAGAGGTCTGGGCGGCTGATTCCTCTAAACAGCCGGCCCAGAAAAAGAAAAAAGAATTCAAACCATACTCCCCAAAGTATGCGTTTAACAAGGATAACCAGTTTATCCTAAAGGAAATCAAGGGACGAATCTCAATTGAGAAGCCGGTCCCCATGAAGGGTTCTGCAAACAACCGGAACCAAGAAAAATTATGTGCTTATCATGAAGATGTTGGTCATCACACCAATGAATGCATCAGTCTCATGCGGTATCTGGACCGCCTGGCTGAGCAAGGTGATCTTGACACTTATGTCAAGAAATCTACGGGGAACACTTCCTCAAAAAAGCAGTCGGCCAAAAAGAATCAAAAGGCCGACAGCTCCGATACAGATGATGCAGTCGTCTACACCATTGCAGGCGGCTTCTCAGGAGGCGGCCCCACTATTAGGGGCAACAAAGACAATATCAGACGGTTAGATGTAAATTCCGTTCACCAAGAACGGCCCTCCAAATATTCATTTCCTGAGATTGTCATCACTGAAGAAGATCTTGGAGGGGTAAGAGGGCCGCATGACGACCCTATCGTTATTGAATGTAAAGTGGCCAACCAGAGAGTTGGCCGAATCCTCATAGATATCGGAAGCTCCTCAGATCTCATCAGTAGCAAATGTCTGTCGAAACTAAAATATCAGACTGATTGCATACATTCGGCATCCCACCCTTTAGTAGGGTTTGGAGGAGGAGTCGTCCACCCAGTGGGACAAGTGGATTTACCCATCTGCCTGGGCGAAAAAGGGGAAGGATGACACATGGTAGTCCGGTTCCTGGTAGTAAAAGAACTCTCGGCCTACAACATGATTCTGGGACGACCAACCCTGAATAATTCCAAGGCTGTTATTATCCCATCTCTTATGTTGCTCAAGTTTGAGAGGGATAATGGAACAGTCGGGTCCCTAAGGGGAGATCAGAGGATGGCCCGAGAGTGCTATCTCTCGGATGTCAAGCCCACTGTTATGGCCACTGGGTCGAGTGGTGGAAAAATAGACCTTGACAATGTCAAGGAGAGTGCACCTGTTCAAGAAGCAGGCGGCAAGAAGAGAAAGACATCCCAGGCAGGGGCCGCAAGAAAAGACAGAAAATAGCAATCACTGGCAGAGGAGCGGTCGGATGAATTCCGCCCTCAGCCGGCTGGTGAGCATACGGACCTGATCTTAGACGACTCGCATCCTGACCGAACAGTCAAAGTTGGGACGACTGCTCTAAGAGTCCTGGGTGACGACTTTCACACACTATTGAAAGAATACAAGGACATCTTTGCATTCGAAGTCCATGAAATGCCAGGCATTAGTCCTGATCTGGCGGTACATAAACTGGCCGTGGATCCAAAAAAGAAGCCGGTAAGGCAGAAGAAGCGGAACCATGGCGAAGAAAGAAGTCAGGCGGCAGCCGCCGAAGTTAAAAAATTACTTGATGCAGGGTTCATTCGGCAATGTTACTTCCCAGACTGGGTTGCAAATGTGGTGCTTGTTAAAAAGCCGAATGGCACCTGGCGAATGTGTGTAGACTACACAGACTTAAACAAGGCGTGCCCCAAAGACAGTTACCCTCTGCCTAAAATTGATAACCTGGTCGACTCAACAGCCGGCCATGCTTTGATGAGCTTTATGGACGCCTACTCTGGTTTCCATCAAATTCCTTTATGGAAGAAAGATCAGGAGAAGACGGCCTTCGTCACTGATCAGGGGTTATACTGTTACACGGTCATGCCGTTTGGTCTTAAGAATGCCCCGGCCACTTTCCAGCGAATGATAAACACTGTGTTCTTTGATCAAATTGGGAGAAATGTCGAGGCATATATTGATGATATGATTGTCAAGTCTAAACTTCAGAAAGATCATCTGTCGGACCTCCGAGAAACTTTCGCCACACTCAGGCGGCACCATGTCATGCTCAATCCCAAGAAATGTGTCTTTGGAGTTGAGTCTGGGAAATTTCTCGGATTCCTTATCAATCAGAGAGGAATAGAGGCGAACCCTGAGAAGGTGCAGGCGGTCATTGACATGCAGTCGCCTCGTACCATCCGAGAGGTTCAGAAGTTAACAGGTTGTCTGGCGGCCTTGGGAAGATTTCTAAGCCGATCAGGCGACAAATGCTTATACTTTTTCCAGGCAATTAAGAAAAAGGCAAGGTTTGAATGGGGGCCGGATGCTGAGGCCGCCTTCCAGAAATTGAAAGTTCACTTGCATTCCTTGCCAAGGCTGGTCAGCCCTTTGCCCAAAGAAGTACTCTACATGTACCTGGCCGTCTCTGATCATGCGTTAAGCGCTGTTCTCCTTGCTGAAAGAGACGGCTGTCAGCTCCCGGTCTACTTTGTCAGTCATGTACTGAAAAATGCCGAGTTGAGGTATCCCTTAGTGGAGAAATTTGGTCTTGCACTCTTCATGGCTGTTAAAAAATTGAAGCCCTACTTTTTGGCACATGCAGTCGTCGTGTATACAGACCAACCTATCA